GTGAGACAGAGAGGGAGAGCTGAGAGAGAGAGAGAGAGAGAGAGAGAGAGAGAGAGAGAGAGAGAGAGAGAGAGAGCTACTGGTGTTGTTGATACCTTGTTATCATGACGATGATGGTGGTGAATGGCACCAGTCCGTCTCCCTGTGGTATCTACCGCATTGTCGTCCCTACTGTTGGTGTTGACGATGATGATCCGTCGCTGTTGTCGTCCGTTCCTGATGTTCTATCACCCTCGTCGGTGAGGTTATCATCTTGTCGCTGATGCCACTCTGTCGCCGTCGTCCGTTTCTCGTTTCCGCGGTGCTTTTGCGACTACCCGACTTAGCCGTCGAGGAGGCGAAGGCGGCGCAGAAGGCGGCGGACAACTCGGTGCACTTCGCACAGGTGCGGGAGGCCGCAGCGGTAGCTGAGGAGAAGCGAGCAACGGCGAAAGCGGCAGAGGCGCGTCAGGCCGTGTGGAAGCTCTCCGGGGAAGAAAGGCGGAGGATGTTCAGCGGCGGCGGCGGCGGCGGCGGCCAGGGGGGGTGGGATGTTGGGGGCGCCGTGGATCCGCCGAGGGATACCCACCTCGGGGGCACCGCGGCGGCGGCGGCGCTCTGTCGGAGGGTGGCCCTGATTCAGGAGAGGAGGAAGCGCGTGGTGAGTGTAAATCTGAATATACGGCGGGGCGGGGCGAGTTGTTTGCCGAATGGTTGTCGTCGTCAAGTGTTCCCTTTCTCCTTTTTCCACGTGATTGGTTTCGGTGTTGTTCCTGGGTATGCGTTGCTGGTGCATATTTGTGTTTTTCGCCTTGACCCTGCGGTCGTTTTTCCGCCCCCCCCCCCGCCCCCCTCCTTTCCCCAAGGTGAACGGTCTAACAACTACGGCGGTATGCACGGCCATGATATGAGTACCCACCCCACCCCAACCCCCGTAATCCCAACTGCCCGTTGGTTGTCCGCGGTCGCTCCTCTTTGGAAGGTGGAAGTGCGAGATCAAGAGCGGTGCCGAAGACGGAGGGATGAGCGCCAGTTCGAGGCCTGGGAGAAGTCGAGGGTGCAATCCCAGGCTGTGGTGGACATGGCGCTGGACAGGTGCGCGGGTTGCGTGTTGATCGACCTTTCGTTTCTGTGCTGGATATCATCCATGCCTTGCCTGTTGTGTGTGTGTGGAGTGTCCTGCGCGCGTATGTAAGGGCTCAGGTTTTTGTTCTGTCTCTTTCGTCGCTTGTGGTCAACATGTCGGCCTCTGCACGTCCTTATTCTCTCTCTCTTTCTCTCTCTCTCTCTGTCCCTCTCTCTCCTGAAACTCGATCTTGCTCTCGACAGGATCGAACAGCTGCGGATGCCGGACAAGCAGGACGATGTCATAAATAGGATAGCGTCAACCTCTCAGGAGCAGGTGCGTTTGTTTCTGTGCGAGGCGGAGTCTATTCCGTCGCAGGCATTTGTCACAACTTTGCGTTAAATTTAGGCGATTTATTTGTTTATTTTCGCTTGTGAAGAGTGGAAAACGAGGCAGCACTCACTGGGTACAGAGTTGGGATCGATTGGGATCGATTGGGATCGATTGGGTATTTGAAGGTGTAGATAGCAGCAGCAGCAGCAACAACGACGATGACGAGGACTTGACAGTATCGGCAGCAACAAGAACAAGAACAACCATAGCAGCACCAATGACGACAGCAACAGCAACAGTTACAACCAACGCAATACGACAGTATCTTTCAACGGTAATAGCCAACGAACCGCAAAACAACAACAACAACAACAACAACAACAACAACAACAACAACGACGACACGACAAAGTGCAACCTCATCAGCAACAACAACAGCAGTAGCAATTAACAACCAACGGTAACAATAACAACATCAGCAGCAACAAAATTCCGATACCTGACGTCCAAATGTTCTTTCCTTCGCCTCTGTCTTCCTCCGTGCAATCTATCGGTTCCTGTAGGCGAAGGTGCCCTACTGGCTGAGGACGAGAGCAGCGCGATTCGTCCGCATGCAGCGCTATCGCCTAGGGGAGCGAATAAGAGCGCAGCAGCGGGCACATCGAGCGGTTGGGATCCAGCCACACATCTCGCACGTGAGGATTCGGCGCGCCGAGCCTAGGGGGTGTTATTTTCCGTAGGCTGCACAAGATGTTACAAAACCGTTGGGCCAATCTCTTTTTAAGCTCGATTATTCCACGAAATCAAGCGATATGCGTAAGTTTTGGGACGGGTTTCGACGAGAGAGACGGCTCGGACGCCGCCGTCAGTTTCGGCACCGTCACTGCTTCTTGCTGCAGAGTACATGTAGTCGAGCTTTGGAAAACATCGGGACTCGGGGTGTGGTACCTTGTGCAACGTACGTGATGTGGTGCTCGGTACAGTGTGGTGGAGCTTGGGCTTGGGAGAGTGTCTTGATTCCATTTGCGGTTTCAAGGGTAGATATACCGTACTTGTGACATATGTATGGAATGAGGCGTTTTCCCCCACCGTCGATTCTTTCTCTGGGTCCTGGTTCTCTTTTCTCCGCTCCGTTACTATTCGAACTTCTTTTTTGCCCTTGTCGGGGTTGTTGGCCTGTGACCACGGCAGGCGTCTGCGTCAGTTAGACCGGTACGGGTGTTGGAAGATACCCTGCGCAGAGACTGGACTTTTTTTTGTGTGTGAAGACAGCAACGATAAGAGTAGCATAGCGCTATGGTAGGGCCCTCCCCGTCCTACCGGTGCCGTACGTTTGTACGCTAGAAAGGCCCTTCTCCGTCTTTGTGTTTTTGCGTTCCGTGTTCAAACATGCTCCTTTCGCGTGTGTGTCACTCCGAAGACTTTTCCCCGACACAAAGCATCAAAACGTCCACCTCATGTCGCTGTCCTTCCCCGAAACCAACTCGTGCATCCCCAGCTGATGAGCAGGGTGCTGTCGGCCGCGGCATTTCTCGCCGTCTCCGGAGTCGAGCTTACCCTTCCATGGCCCGACGAGCTCACTAAGCAGATGGCGCTTCAGCCGCCCCACTTTCTCTTGGAGGGCGGCCGCAAGAGCGAGAGCGCCGCCGATGTCGAGGGCTTGCCGCCCGCGCCGGCGCCTAGGACCCCGGGGCCTCTGCTCGGCTGCGCGGGTTCGAGGAAGGAGGCGCTGTCGTCCCCGACCGCAGTGGAGCGTCAGCAGTCGCCTACCACGGTCCAGCAGCAGTACATCCAGCGACATCAGCAGCAGCTGGTGCAACAACAGCAGCAGCCGCCCGTCGATCCCGAGTACGAGGCCCAGCTGGAGATGTTCCGCCGTCGACAGGCCAACGGAGGCGGTGGGCAGATGGCCCACTACCCCGGGGACTGCCCGCCGCTGTCCCCGGAGTCCCACTCCCCCCCCTCTTCCCCCGACAGGGCTGCCGATGCGCGTCACCCCCAGGCAGACCACCACCGCCTTTCCTCCGGCCTTCCCGCCGACAGCTCGGCCGCTGTCCTCGCCGCGGCTACGGCCCGGGCTGCGGCGGCGGCCGCCGCCGCCGGCATCTGCTCGCCGCCGTCGTACCCCCGGCACCAGCACCTGCATCAGGCCGCCGCCGCCGCCGCCGCTGCCACCGCCGCGGCCGTAGCTGCTCCTCCTCTGGACCACCGCGCGAACAACAACGGCAACCACCGCCATATGGCCACGTCGAACTCCTCTGACCAAACCAGCAGCACTGGTGGGGTCCCGTTGTCCCTGCCTTCCGCCCGGGAGGTGGAGGCCAAGGCCGCCGCCGCCGCCGTCGCTGCCGAAGCGCAGTCGCGGATCGCGAGGAAGGACCTCGCCAAGGCGCACGAGGCGGCGGCGGCGGCAGCGGACCGGTCGAGGCGGGCGGCCAAGAGCGCGGCGGCGGCGGCGCAGGCGGCGGCGGAAGCGGCGAGCGGGGTGATGGCCCCCGCTCCGCTCCCGGGAAGAAGAATAGCGGGTCACCCGAGGACCGGCGGCGGCCCCCCGAAAAAGGCCGCTAAGCGTAAGGCTAGCAGCAGTAGCGCGGACGTCGGGGCGGGCGATGGTCTGGACTCGAACAGCGGGTCCTTGGGCGCACCAGAGGGTAACTCTTGTAGCAGCGGCGGGGGCGGCAGCGGGAGCCTAAAGGGGGCGCAAGAGCTGGCGGCAACGGCGATCGCCGCTACGGCTACGGCCGCCGCATCCGCCATTGCCACGGCGGCGCGCGACAAGGAAATGCTGGTTTCCGGCGTCATCGACGACGGCACCCTCGACGAGCTCAAGACGGTGCCGCTGCGGGGCTGGGGAAAGAACGTGGAGACCGAGCTTGGGCGATGGCAGGTGAGCCTCTCTTGGGGGGTGGTTGGAGTGAGAGCTTGAGCTCGGCCCTGAGCGGACGAGATCGGGGGACTTGAGTCTTGGTAGGCAGGTACCCACCGGGGGCCATAATGCCAACGCCTCGTGAGCACGGCTAACGTAGGAATACCGAACAAGAAAACACCTCGCCGGTGGTCTACAGCATTTGGCTTCTAGAGCAACTATCACGGGTTTTGTTAAGCGCGGGGCTTATGCAGTAGCTTCTGTCTCCCCCTCAGTTGATCTGAGAGTAGTAGTTTGTTTTGGGGTCATGGTGATCTGCATAACAAAAATTCCAAGAAAGTGTTTGGACCGGGTGTGGTGGTTGTGCGGTACGGGTTGTGTTTTTTCTTGTGAGTTTGTTCCGTCTTGTGTCGCGGTAATTTGTGTCTTATGAGCTGTGGAGGAACTACCCCTTGTGCTGTAACACGTTCTGCTAGCGTCAAGGAAGATTCTACCACCTCTTATCTTGGCACAGCAGATGCTTCGTGATGGTTGGCGTACCGCGTTTCTACATACCCCACAACATGCGCAACCTTTGCGGCGAATTCCTCCGTTTCTCTCGGACGGCCCACGAAGGGAGCGAGCGAGCTATTTATTGCTAGCTCCCCAGGCCCGCCCAAGCTCCCACTCGCATGTCCCCCCCAAAGGGAGCTTAGCACGGCCGCTAGGTACTCCTGCTCAGAAATTGCATCAACACTCACCACCACCACCACCCTCCCCCGCCGCGGGCCTGCGTCACCCCCTCCTGTGTTGTCCAATCGTTGTGCAGGACGTCCGTGCGTGCTGCCTCTGCAAGGCCACGGGGGATGGAGACAAGACCGGCCGGCTGCTGCCGTTAGACGATGGGCAGTGGATCCACACACTCTGCGGGCTGTGGTCGAGGGAGGCAAGCTTTTCTTTTCTTTTCTTTTTTTTTTTTTGCTGTTCCGCCTTCCCTTCAGTGGGAACCGTTTTTGCACACAAGTTCGTTGCCCTCAAGAGAGAAAGGGTTAGAAGAATGACAGGAGGATGTTGTTTTTTCGTTTTTTTCCTCTTCATTTGGTTGTTGACAAATGACCAGCACCGCGACTATTTTATCATTGTTTTTCTCTACTGTCTTATTTTGGTGCATGCACCATACCTTCTTGAAACCAAGAATTGTGAACACACGTAGAAGTTTATTTGTACCATAGCTTCTCCATTTTTTGTTAGTACCAAGAATTGGAGGCACGGTTGAAGTCTTTTTCACGCAATAAGAACATGCACACGCACATGTGTTTTTCGTGCTCATTCCTTGAGTCAACACCCCGAAACGGTTGAATTTTTTTTCAACAGGTATACGAGAACCAGAACAATTTCGGGACGATCTGCGAGCTGTACAAGGCCCGCGGCCGTGGGCGTCTGTTGGAGTGCTCCCTCTGCAAGGAGCCCGGCGCTACTGTGGACTGCTCCAGCCACAAGTGCGAAGAGGTCTACCACTACGAGGTGCTTGATGGTTGCTTAGACACGGTTAGACACGGGCAGGGAGGGAGGACAGATGGAGAGGGTCGTGTGGACAGCGGTGTAGTGGCGCAGTGAAACATTGCAAGAAGGGAAGGGGAGGAAGAGAGGAAGGAGGTTTTCCGTGCACATTCCGCTGGTTTGGAAGATTTTTTTGTTCCGTTTCGGAGACTCGTCGATCGGCACGTGGGTTGTCAACACCGCCCAGCCCATTTAACTCCCCCCTGTATCCTGTATCCTGTATCCTCCTCCTCTTCGTCTTGCCTGACTTTTCTGTCGTTCACCTCCTACCCGTGTACTTGTCCCTCCGTTCACGTTCGCAGTGCGCGTTGGATGCCGGGTGCGTGTTTTACAACAACCTGGACGTGTCCTGCCCCTTGCACCACGAAGAAGGGGTCGCCAACTCTCACGGGACCACGGTCGCCCCCTTCCCCTTGTCTTCGACGTGAGTACACTAACGTACCCGTCGCACCTGCCGGTTGCCTTGGCCAATTTCTCATCCAAACGTAGTGGAATGAAAGTTCCTTTGGTCGTGTTTCCCCCAACAGAATGGATCGGCGTTTCCCCTCCGGCGCAAAGAGACCTCGGGGTGGAAAATCGGCTGTAGCTAGTGTTGCGTCCCACATGTTGTTTTGTTCACTTGTGATTTCCCTTTTCGTTTTGTGTTGTTTTGGTGCTCGGTGCTCTTTTTGGTGTGTCATTCGTCTCGTTACCTCTGCATGCAATATTTTCTATTTTTTTTTAATATTTTGGCGGTGTGGCCTGACGTTCACTCTCTACAAATGCCCCATTCCACTGTAGGAGAGCAAGACCGTTCCCTATCATGAGACCACTAACGTGATGCGCACCAGACGGGAGTATTTTTTTCCCTTCATTTTGTGCTACCAAATTCGATTGAGCTGCAGACGAAGCAACTTGCGCGTGACGTTCGCGAACACCAACCGTGCTATCCCTCGTATAACACATGCAAATTATGCCATGAAACGAAGGAATACACGCCGGAGGCCCTACACGCTACACATAGGGGGGGTGGACGCAATCAATACGATCTGCGTGCTCCCCGAAAAGCCAGCCCGCCCTTCGCCCTTGACACTTCCGTCTTTGCCACTACTGTTCCGTCTCGATTCCCTCTCGTTTCTCTTTTCTCCGGAATGAACTTACTGTCTTGGAATTTTAGTGGCAGTGTCGCCGCCGCCACCGAAGGGGCCGCCGGATCGAGGGCGCCGACGCCCACGCCAGGTGCTGCAAACCCTGACCCTCCAGCGGGAGGCGGGGCTGGCGGAGGAGGAGGATCAGGTATACGAAGTGCATTTTTTTTGTTTTTTTTGCTCCTGTGGGTGCTCAGAGTGCGTTGTAACGCAGAATGCCTACGCTGAGTTGCTTGTGCGATGGTTATTATCTCGGCACATACATGTAGCTGGAGCGGCCCCGTTCTCAATTGCGGGGACTGCGTGGGCGCGCGTACACCAACGTCCTTCCCTTCCCTTGGTTACTTAGCCGGATGGCGCGGTGGACGCTAGTAGTAGACACAAACACCTTTTCTTTGGAGGCGGTTTGAACTGTAGACGCTATTGGCAAGGACAAGACACCGCATACGTTTCATTGGTCAGCCGGTGAGCGCGGTCGATGCTAATTGTTTTAGACACACAGCGGTGTGGTTGACTGTTAACAAAAAGCCGTTGCGTTTTGCCACTCGAACTCTTGGATTCCCTCGACAAAGGCTCGGCGGCGGCATCAGGGTCGAGCTCCCCTCCCCCGACGCCACTTGCTCCGCCTACCTCTGCTACCTCTGCTACTTGTGCTACCGGTGCTGATGCTGCTACTGGTGGTGACGCTGGTGCTGCTGCTGGTTCTGCTGACCCCGCCACCCCTGCCGATTCGACTGGCGCAGCTGCTGCTACTGGCACAGCTACTGGCACAGCCACTGCTGCAGCTGCTACTCCTGCTCCTGCTCCTGCCCCTGCTCCTGCCCCTGCTCCTGCCCCTGCTCCTGCGCCTGCCCCCAAGCCGGTACCGTGGGGGAAGATGACCAAGTCACGGGCGGAACTAGTGGCCGACCCTTACCGATTCATGGAGGCAACAAGGGGCTCTACTAAGGGGGCATGGAAGGTATGTTGATGTATGTACCACCACCCACATTATAGTTTCGGTACGGGCCCCCAAGAAACGGGGTGCTAAGGGAGGTACATCCGCGGCCCCCCCGCAAAAACGATATTAGAATCTTGCAGCCAAGGTATTGTAGTGCGCGTGCGATTCTTCTCGGAGTAGGACAACCTCGTTGCGATAGGCCGCTCTCTCTGTGTTGGCTTCGGCCCCCCTACCCGGAGCCCTCTCGTCCGTGCTTCGATTCCTGGATGCCTCCTTGGCATAGGTGTCCATCTTTTGTACCCGCAATCCCGGCTAGCCAATCGTTTTTTTTTCTTCTGTGCTGCTGCTTGTTCTTTTGTTCTTGTACCGAAGAAGATAATGCCTCCTTCATCCTGGAGGCCGATCGCTGTAGCTGCAGCTTCAGATGTGCTTTCTTTCATTATTTCTCTTTCGTGAATGTCGTATGTGTATGTCGTAACAGGTGCCCTCTTGGAGCGACGGTTATGCCTTGCGTGTGGGAGCGGTGACGATCCAGAAGCTCGGCCGGTTAGCCCCGCAGTTGGCGGGGTCCCACACCAAGTCCCACATGTTCCCTGTTGGCTTCCGATCCTCGTGAGTATACTTTCTTTTTGTACGGGTTACCGTTACCGTGTACCACGGTATAGTAGTTTTTTTGTGTGGTTCGAAATGGCCGGGTATGGAAGTGACAGGTTAGTTTGGTTGTGTGTCTGCGCTCTTTTGTCGATTGTCTTGAAAGTACTCCCTCTGGAGATAACACTAGGGTTCCTGGTTCTTGATGGACACTGCCGGCACCTAGGTGCTGCGGCTGACACTGGTGACCCGGCTACCAGCTGTTGTTGTGATCGCTCTTTCGGGCTGCAGACGGCGGCCCCGGCGCTTGCCTCGATCTTGCTCTCTACCCCCCCCCCCCCCCCCCCCCCCCCCCCCCCCCC